TTTTGGACATTTCACACGAATTAGGAAACTTAATTATTACTTTATGAGAAAGACAAATTATGTATGACTTTATAGTAATGCCCCACATAATTAAACAGAAGAGAGAAATTAAAAGAGTTGAAAGAATAAATAAATAATAAATACTTGAGGATATATTGGAGAAAATGTCATTAATATTGCATTGGAAATGTAAGGTGACTTATAATTTGAGACAAATTTTTTTGGCAAAGTGACTTATAATTTAGGACAGAGGGGTACATCACTAGAACGGAGATGATATTCATTTTTACCTGAAGCTTCCCCAGGTGCCATGTTCCAGATATGCTCACAACTTCAAGTATTTTGTCGTGCATAGATTGTGGATCAAAATTATCATAATTCTCATCCTCATTTTGCCACAAATCTACACCTCCCATGTAGCTTCCAATATTTGCAACAAGAACCCCTTCAGCATCCTGGATGGAATAGAAAATCAAATTGAACAATTCAGAAAAGGGTCTAGCTCTTATATTTGGTGGAGGTAAGATATAATACATAGAAAACTAAAACAAATTCTAGTATAAAAATTTGAGTCCCCAAACATGAGTCTGAATCCGCTGAATTGAATTTGGCAAACACACCCACTGAATTGAATTTTAGCATGACAAGATAGCCCCTTACGTTATCTATTTATCAAAAGGTCAACCCCATGCTACCATAAGAAAGGTAAACACAATGCAAGATTTACACTTTTGGTTACCCTTATGCTAAACAGAGAGGAGTAAAAGTGTAAGTAATTGACTCTGAAAATTTACAGGCTTGCCAATATCATATAATTAGAGTTAGTCGCATAAATTAAAGCAATTTATTTTCATACTCTCAGCAGCTACACACAAAAAAACAGAGAAATGTGAAATAAATAAAGACTATTTATTCTCAAAAAAACTCACCTCAGGGACCTCAATTTCAACTCCATCCACCACAACACGAATCTGCCAAGGGAAATCCTCAAATGTCCTATCCATTATGCTTTTAGCACCTTCTCTTGCATATAGAACTTTATTCATGAACTGCATATGTTAAGAGTAGATTCAGCATTGAACCTAAAAGTTCCAATACACTGAATACCATCGAATGCTTGTTAAGATAACAGATGGAACAGTGCAGCTAATAGCAAGTGTGAAATTGAAGCATGTACTTCAAGTTTGACGACAAGATTTAGGAAGAACATGTTGAAGTTTAATCAAATGGGAGGACTTTCAAGATTTGAAAATTCCTGGAAATAGACCAAAAGATTGCAAGAGGTGCCTGCCTTTCACCTTGAAAAAAAGGTAATGGCTTTGTGGGGGAGTTACCAGCATTATTTGAGGAATAACTCAGTAGATTTATCCAATTAAGGGTATGCTCCGGTTATCTTATTCTATTTGATGGCCACTTCAAACAGTTAAGTGAAGGTTAGATTAGCCATTGTTTTTCTAGGTGGCCACTGCTCTCTATTATATGTCTGGTTCAATTTACTTCTGGCACAGCTCCAGGAGCTGGTTCAGATAAGGCTTTTCATGATGAAGGTCTGGAGGAGGTGGTTCGACGTAATTCTGGGCATTGGTTCAGCCTCTTCTCCTTCCTTATGAAAAATGGTTATGGTAATTGTGGCTTGAATGATTTAGGAAGATAATTATATTTTGGCTTGAATAATTTGCTAGATTAGATATCACAGTTGTACTATTCCCTTTCGTGTTCTAGGTTTTTGTTTTGACAAAACCTTCATTCTTTTCTATTTGGAGTTGTTAAATTGTTACTTTAGCTTAAGTGTGAGTCTGTTACTCGTCACATGTGGCTTTCTTATGCATTTGCAAAAATAATAGAGAGGATGTGGTTGGCTTGAATGATTTAGGAAGATGATTATATTTTGGCTTGGATAGTTTACTAGATTAGATATCAACAGTTGTTCTACTCCCTTTCATGTTCTAGGTTTTTGTTTTGACAAAACCTTCATTCTTTTCTATTTGAAGTTGTTAATTTGTTACTTTAGCTTAAGTTGTGAATCTGTTACTCGTCACATGTGGCTTTCTTATGCATTTGAAAAAATAATAGAGAGAATGTGGTTTTATACCACACACCTAACTAACATAAATACTAACAAATATTTTTATACCAGTATATCATTCAATCAGCCCAGCTGCCTATTTTAATAAACTTTCCATTTTCTTGAATTGAAGCTTCACAGTATAATAAGATGCACCCCGTTAAAGAAGGTGCATTAGTGATTCCCTTACATCGTTCTTTGATTTTATTTTATTTTTATATGAATGATAGAGATCAAATTTGCTAATTTTTAATCATTATTATCCATTATTTTTATTATAATCTGATGGCCATGAGGAAAACACTGGTGACCCTATTTTTGTTGGGATCATGTTAGATGCTAACCTTAATACGCCGAGCAACTCAAAATCCATTACGAATTAGACATTAAATACCTGGTTATAAAACTTCTCTGGGTTTTCCTCTCGCAGATTATGGATGTCCAAAGCAACTTTTGCATCACAACCAATTCCTAATATCAAATACTTGTTAGATACAAAATTAGTCATGATAACCCAAATGTAGCTATAACTTGAAAATCGGCAGATGATAGTCTAATAAAAATCAAGTTGAATGCATGTATTATCTAATTAAGTATTCAAAATAAAGGCTGATAACTGATAAAGAAGAATTACGTATCCTGATTCAAGTACATTCATGAGAATACAGTTGAAATGGTGCCTGAGTTGAATGCTCAAATCAACATAAGCTAAACCTTGGATTCGGCTCCTCTGGAATGAGGGATGCTCTTTAGAGGATAAAGGGCAGGATCAAGGCGTTCATAATGCCTTACATTTGCATGTATTCCATAATAATTTTCAAATTTCCAGACAATGATCATAACTAATGCATTTAAAGCATTAAAGGTACCGAATCCCTAAACCTCATTTCAACTATCCAACACAGTCAGAGTAGAATCGAAGTTGACAGAATAAAAATGTAACTATTCCGGTTTAATGCGCAAATCAAAACAAATCAATAGAGACTTTAATTTGTATCAAACCAAACTCGGATTCAAACTAGAGTACCAGACCGTGACATAAAGCTCCAAAGGCATCTCTCCCCTCGTCTATAATATAATCCACCCAACCCTACCCACCACCCAAAAGGAACTAGCTCTTTGGTTAAGTTTATGAAGCTGACTTACCAAATGTTTCAAACCAATACAATTAAATGTAATTCATAGTAACCATGAGAAAAATGCATTCACGTACCAAGATAATTATTCATAAACTTTGGTGGTTGGAGTTGTTGCTTTCCTTGTGGGCTACTGATTGTTACCTTCCACCGGTCAAGAATAGTAACCGCAGCATGTTCTATATGATGCAAAACTGTTGTAAGGCCCCCTTGCCTCTCTACTGGACCCAAGCTACCTCCCCAAGAGAGAACTCTAGCGAGATCATTTCCAGTACCGGCGGGAAGAATGGCAACTGGGGGAGGGGAATCAAAATTTTGTTTTTCTATTGCATTCAGAACCCAACCAACAGTACCATCTCCGCCACATACAAGAACTCTGAAGTGAGGCACCTTTCTAAATAAATAAAGTCCCATCTCTGGCCCCTGCGATGAGCTCAATTCAAATACCTAGACAAAACGAAGGAAGCTCAATAATCACATTGTCAAAGTTTTCACAAAAAGTGTGAGAACTATTTTTTTCTTTTTTAGGAGTCTTTCATGTATACCTCTAGAAGATGTCAACATTGTAGTAATTTTGTTATGCATACATAATTTCATTAAAAAATAGATGAGTAATTGATGGACATTTGTGGCCTATTAGCCCCGATGCATAAATCAAGAGAAGGGAGAAAAAAAAAAGATGCAAAAATTGCAGTGAAGAACATTGAAAGCAACAAACAAAAACCCAAATGATAACCAGATGTTGTAACATGTAGCAGAGTAACAAACCTGAACAGGATTTAAGAGAATATTCAGACGCAGCCTAAGTGAGTCTCCTCGCTGGGCCCCGCTCTTTTTGTTTATAAAAACTAGCAATGGTCTTGCATCTGGAGGCAAACCAGTCAACTCATAATTCTGTTTCACTCCTGACACCTGGGAGTCCTCCTTCTGATTTATAGATGAATTGCGCCTGAAACTGGGTTTTCTGTCCATCTTATTATCTACTTCACTATCTTGTTGTTGAACCTCTTCATTTGATGCAACAATATTTTTTTCCTCTATTATATGATGACCATTAGCTATTTGATGAGAATCAGCAGTGCTTTCTGTGGATATTTCACCAGTGCTCCCACTATTCCCAGATTCAACCTGTGTTTCACTTCCATGTTTGTACTTTTTGCTCTGGCTCCTAATACTTGCTCGAACTGAAGATGCTATCTCATTTGCACCATGGGTAATTGAGCTAAGAAAACTACCTGGCAAGTTCCGATTGAATTCCTTCACATGCCGAGGAGACAGTATTAATCTTTTAAAAGGGCCCAGATCACATATATCGCCCGTTTCATTAGACATTGAACCATGACAATCAACGTGTACTAAACGTTGGCACCACAAGCAGTACCATATAGGGGAACCACTGAGGAAGGTCCCACCACACGTCTCTTCACAGTAACTACAGAAAGTAGGTTCATCAGGCTGGTCAGCTACATCTGTCCAACGAACAGCCCACTGGTGTAAGACGTGCTCAAATCCAATCATAGAAACACACTTACAGTCCTTGTGTGCACTAGAAGAACAACTTAGATGAGCTACTGCACCACAAATACAGCACCGGTGGATAAAACTGTCTGAAGCTACTATAGGACCTAGAGTTTGAGAGGGTGATATTGATTTGAAGCATACACAGCAGTTTGAATTCTTTACACGAGATACCGATTCTAGATCCCAAGTATGAGGAGCCACAGGAACTTTATGCTTTGCCTTTGGGTTTTTCTTAGATCTAGCTATAGCTTTCATCCAACTAAGATTAATGTTTCTCCTCCACTGAAAAGCCGTATAGAAGATGGTCAAAATTCCAACCAGGGCAGCAACTAAGCAAGATATAATGAAAATACGATCCGTTGGATTCTTCGTACTCCATGTGTGGAGAAAAAACTCAAAATCTATATCATCATCCATTCCACAACTATATCGTTCCAAATTTTTTACCAGTATTGATAGCAAGCAATACTTGCTTGATTGTGGAAAATCAAGTTAACTATATTAAAATCCTAACTGAACAAACAACAATATGATATTACACCCCATGTGTCATTTCTCACCAAAACTCATATGTAGGCAATGAAATGCTGTGTAATATATAACCACTGAACCTTACTTCTCTAAGAAAACGTATTGAATAAGAAACCCATTCCTCATCCCCAAATGTACTCCAAAACATCTTCTGCTAAATCTCTGTTTGATAACTTCAAATTTTCAAATTTCCAATCCCCGTAAGCATACAAAATACCTGTACCCAAAACAAAATTAAAAAAAGAGGGCTGAAAAAATCAATTTTCTAACCAATTGTAGCAACTTAACGCTTTCTTAATCTTCATCAATTAGTATATTTGAAATAGAAAGTTCCAAAAAAAAATTAAGAAAGCAACGAAAGCACATAATCGGCACAAAATTTAGAAAACTAGATTTGATCAATTGGTATATTGTGGAAGAAACAGAATTAGCTTACAGTAGCGGTTGCGGCAGCGAGATCAAGATGAATATATAGGATTGGAAGAAACCCTAGTTGATCGATCGAGAGAGAGTTATGGTTTGGGAATGATCAAGAGAAACTGCAAAAGAAGGGAATGTGTGAGAGCAAATCCCACACCGCAACGTTGCTTTTTCTTCACAGGGGAGGAAAGAAAATATTTATTTACTTATATTTATAAAAAGAAAATCAGAAGAAAATACTAGATTCAATATTTCTTCTATTTTGGGCGCATTCTCTCGGTTAAAAAGGTGAATTTAATTTTTCCCACTAAAAAAATCTAAATTTCTTTTTTTATATTATTAAAAATATTAAGATATTTTTTCCATTGTAATCATTAATATAATTAAGATTATATAAATAAATGAAAACTAGCTACAAACTCCGTCTTATTCTTTTTTGAATGAGAAAACTAACCTTCTTAAAAATTATGTATTTATTAGGAAAGTTTTGCATTTTTTTTAGAAACAATGTTTTAAAAATTAAATTGAAAATCGAATCAGTGAAACTTATAATTTAAGATGGTTAAATTATTTATTAAATAAAGTAATAATATGAAATTAAATTTTATAGATATGTCACACAGTAATATTATCAACTTAATAAAATAAATATTTTAAAAATTAATTACAAATTTAATACATTAATATCAATAATACATAATATAACATAATTTTACACTTCATTTCAACCATCATTTAAAAATATTTTGACCAAACTAAAGAATTAAAATGAAATTAATTAAACTAATTCAAACTAAAATTAAAATATAATAACTAAAATAAAGTTCAAATAATTAAAAATATCTAAATTAAATAAGATAGAATATCAAAATATAAATATTACAATTTACTTCATTAAACAATAAAAAATTGAATTTGAATTGAACTACGACAAAGCAGTTTTAATTAACAACAATAAATAATATTGACTTGAACAACAATTAAGTTGGACATTGTGACTATGTTTGAAAGAGAGAATATAATGATAATGAAGTGTGGTTGAAAGAAAAACTATAATAAAGTGACAAAACATAGAAGTTTGTATGGTTTTAAAAAACACACAGTTTGTAATTGGAAAATGTACGTTAAGTTTTGATATTAACATATTAAAAAAATTTTAAAATTTTAAAAATGGTCAATTTGATGAAAGTTTTTAACCGGACGGTTTTACAAAATCGGCTCCGGTTCTTTGGTTCGAATGGTTTTGAACGGTTCAATCTGATTTTTCGTGTTTAACTTCGATTTTGACCCACTAGCGGTTTTGAAAATTTGATCCAATCAGATTTATTTTCGATTTTCAGTCCAACTGTTTGAACCGGCCAATTCAATCTGATTTTTAAAACATTAATTAAAAAATCAAAAGTATTAGAGATAAATAATATGAAAATATATTAATTGTCGGAGCACGATTTTTCGTATTTGACCACTTTATTTAAAACAACTTTAAAAATTATTTGTCCCGCAGTAAAATCCCGACTCTCAGTCTCATCAAACCCCAATCTTTCACATGCATATTTCTATTCTACTTCTAAATTAGCATAATGCTAACTTGTGTCTTATGAAATTCACTCTTAAAAAATTTATATTAAAAAAATAATAATAAATGTGTCAATTTTAAAATAATATTTCTTTCATTTTAGTTATTATATATTATAAGAATTTAATTAAAATATACTATTGGTGTAAAAGTATTTTACAGAGACACTTAATTAGAGATATTAAATGTTAGATTGAATTTATTTTTTACTTTAGACAAAATATTTTTTTGCCCTTAGTTATCAGATTCTTCCATTAATTTTTTCTGTGTCAGATTGTTTTCTTAATTTTTAAAATATATCCTGTTAATATTTTTTTATCTAATTAATGTCGAATTTAACAATTATTTTTAAATCGCTAATAAAATAAAAATAAATTAACCACGTTTAAAAAATCTAAGGGACCAATTTAATAAAAAAATTAAATGACCAATTTAAATTTAAAGTTATAGTTAACTGGGAAAAAAATATTTTACTTTTATTTTAACCTGTTCATATAATAATAGAAATGGATGATAATAATAACTGATCGTGTAAATTACGAATGCATATTATATTATGCCCCAAGCGCACAATAATATATTATTATAAAGGTAATGTGGAGATTCCATAGAGTTAATTTGATGCACAAGAATTTATCAGAAAAAGAAAAGTGCCCAGGGAAGAATAAAAAAACCGAATCCAATACTTGGACTTTCCCGTAGTTATACTTATAGTATATTATATATAGATATATAGATTACCTTTTTTTTTAGCAGATTACCTCTAAAATTATAAAATAAGATTCGATTTAAAAAAATTACTAAAGAAGAGTTGTATTCATAAAATATTGTTATAAAATGAACTAAAAATCGAGTGAGATTTTTTTGATTATTGAACGGAACACCTAATTATAAACTTTCATGTCAGTTATATACAAGTTATAAGTTTCCATAAAAAAAGAGAGTAAGATTGATAATATAGAAGATTTGGGCTTTTTATTTTAGATTGTTAACATATTAAATTATTTTTTATTTTAAATGAATTTATATAAAATATATCCAACATTAAATAAAGGAAGAAGATAGTTCAACTAGTTTAAGTCAAAAAGATATAAGAGCGTCTTTAATGCAGGTTTTTAATAGTTAAATTGTTTATAGTTAACGATAATTATAAAAAAATTGCATTGGAATGGTTATGAAATGACATTTAATTCACTAGCTTTTAGTTTTCGGCAATTATATAGCTAACGTATACTATTTATTTTGAAACATATAATTAAAGTATTGTAATTTTTTGAAAACAACGGTCATATAAAGTCAAGTTTTAGTTTTTTTATAAGCAACTATCATTAAAGTAAAAACAACTCAAATCAATTATAAATTTTTTAAATCCTACAAATCACTTTGAACCCACAAAAAATATCTTAGTTTATCCACTTAAGATAGTTCCACTAAAGATGCTTTAAATGTTTAGTCTATAGTATAATATTTGACATCAATATATTTTTATATAATAATAAAATATTAGTATTAAAAAATTGTTAAATTTTATAAGAAAAATTATTAGTTAAAATATTATTAAGTCATGCGACAGTATTTAAATATTATAGTTGTGATGTTTAAAAGTTTTAATATTAATATTTTGTCGGTTTCCACGTCTTAAAAAGTGTTTGTTAAGCTCTTAATGTATATAATTTCAAAAAATAAAATAAAATATAACTTAAATTGTTTGCTAAAAGTATTTTGTTTTGGATAAATGTATTTTTGCAAATTTACAATCATATAAATCTCTAGAAAACAACAATCTTTCCTCATTGTCATTGAGTCAACCAACCATTGTTTCATCCATTGTGTTTTTCTTTAACTGTTAAATTACTATTCACATCATATTTTATCCAATCACATTTTATCCAACCATATTTAAGAGGCTTTCATTTAAATTGATATGTCTCTTGGTTTTTTCTTTAAGGATCGTGGTTTTATCCAGATACGTTGTTGATTTTATTTTTTCCTTTGTTTTTTCTCAAATATCTTATATTCTCGTTACTCACGTTAACTTAATTTTATTTATTTTTTATTTGTGTTGTTCTTCACATAATCAAAGTTTTCCTATTTGTTTTGTATGCCGTCAATCTAGGATTATTCATTGATTTTGTGGTTCTTTGTGTGATCACCTTGATTGTTGTAGCTCTTCTAAGGTATATTCAACATGGATTGATGTGTCTCAAGGTATTCGTGCTGAAGATCGTGGTTTTTCCAAGTAAAATGTTGATTATTTATTTACCTTTGTCCTTTATTTGATTCCTTGTACCATTGTTTCTCTTGTTAACTTGATTTTTCTCTTTTCCTTGTGGGTTCTTCTCAAGGTCAAAGTTGTCTAATATTTTTTGCATATCGTCATTCTATTTTTGTTTGACTTTGTGATTCGTGGTTATAATACCTTAATTTTTACCCCTAAGATCTCACATAATCATTTGCATCATTGCACACAAACAAGATCACAAGTTTGGTTGCTTTCTTACCCTCTCGTCATTGGGTTTATCTTTGCAGAATCACCAAACCCTCATTTGTGTATTTTTGTTCCTTTGTGTTTATATGCTTTATGTTTCACTAACTATTGATCAAAATGTCAAAAATATGTCTTGTACCTTTTTGTTTTCTTTGCAATATAAAGTTTTATATCAAAAGCATCAAGCATGATTCATCAGCTAGGGTTTTGCTCTCTCAAAGTCAAAAAGTGGTCAACATTATTTCTCAAGGCTCATTTACACCATCTTCGAAGCTCCTTTGAGAGAATAAGAAAATATGGATTAAAAATGAAAGCACTAAAAGTGCTTTATGTGTAAATTCAGGAGACTTTATATGTTTCATAATGCACAAAAAAGGCATCGAGATCAACCAAAACAAAACA